TAATTTCTTCTTTAGTCTGAAGTTCATTATCCCAGTAGTATTTCATCACGGAATAACCACGAACGAGTACTTCACCACGTTCGCCACGCGGTAGAATAATTCCTTCACTATCGACTACAGCAGACTGAAATACATATCAAATTTTTCGTATCATAACGATCAGAGGTAATACAATATGAACAGTAACAAATAAAATGAACTATTTCAAAGTTTCAAAATGAACTATTTCAAAAACTATTTTTTTCTGTTTAACAGTTTAAACAGAAATTAGGAAGGAAATCATTAGTACTTCAAGGTGATCCATAATATAGCCAACAGACTTGACACGGTCTTCCGGTTGTTCTTCTCTAAGTGACATGAAAGATACTGGACTAGTTTCTGTTGTACCGTAACATACCTAAAAATTTAAAGAGTTCAAAAAAATGCTAGAAAAAAATTAAGGAAACTATTAGATGAGTCTCAATAAAAAAAACCAAAATTTTGTCAAAAAATTTTAATGTACGTTACCTGCAAATCACGCATACCCAATTCGTTCACAAGTCTTTGGCATAATGCTATGGGACATGGCGCTCCGGCTACAAAACCTAAAACAATAAATGATTTTATAGCAGACTCAAATAATTGTGTCGCACAAGTGTTACATAAGTATTGCCCAAATTTTAATAACATTAAATAATTTATTTTCAACAATAAATTTTAAGATGCCTGCATGCATTGATATTTTCAGACTAGCTATCTTATTGTCATTTGTGATAACACAACTTCTGCAGGAAAATTGTAATCTTAGCCTACTTAGCCTATCAGTGCCCAGAATTGCTTTTTTATTTTGATCATTTATCAATGAATGGATTTAGTCATCGAAATGAGATTTTTGTATATTTAGGCTTGTTTTGTTCTTTTGCACTATATTCTGATAATGACAAAATCCAGTATTTTTAAGCATAAGATTACATAAACAGGAAATTTTTGATTCGTAGATTCGTAGAAACGTTTATCTACTATTAGAAATCCTTACCTGATGTTATCGATGTGCAATCATATTGTTTATATTGAGGATGATTCAGCATATCAATATACATAGTTGGAGTACCATAAATTGCCGTACATCTTCAACCAGCAAATAAAAATATAAAGAAAATCATCGATTTTAAAAGGAAATCATTGTAATACAGTGAAATAGTTAAAGATTAGTAATATTTATTGGTGAAGACAGTTGATAAATGAATGGAATTCCACAACGTATTTATTTTAGTGAAGAGAAAGTGTTCATTTAAGTTAGAAAATAATAATATAAAGCAGATTAGCAATATTAAATTTGATTTAATGTGAGAGCAGCATTGCAAACTTCATTAAAAACAATGTCATCTTATGCAGCAAAGATTGAAATTGAAGAGTTACTTCAACTGTATAGACTTTTTAATTAATATATGTAAGGGGAAAAAAAAACTTATATTAAAAACAGATTCAAACTAACTTTTCTTCATGTATAGCTTGAATAGCAGCTAGAGCATCGAAGGATGGCGCTGGAAATACGCAAGTTTGCAAATGAACACATGCACTCAAACTACCCATAACACAACCGAAACAATGATACAATGGATTCGGAATACAAATTATTGTACGCTGAAAAATTATTTCGTTATATTTTTTTGAAAATTTTTAGATGGTTAAACTTGATCAAAAAAAAGTTGGAAAGATTTTAGTAATAAAAAAGTAAATAAAAAAGAAATCAATAATTATTATATTTTATCACCATAATGGCGATGAAATATACCCTTGTTGATTTCTTTAA